TGGCTATGTGCTCAAGCTACTATGATGCTTCAGGAGTTATGAAAGATCTTAATGGAGAAGAAAGGATGGAATTCAAGAAAATTATTCAGGGAATGGCGGCAAGCAGCCTCCGGTGCATTGCTTTCGCTCACAAACAAGTTGCGGAAATAGAGGAAGAAAATGTGAAAGAGAAGAAAAAGCTTAAAGAGGAAAACTTGACCTTGTTGGCACTTGTAGGTATCAAGGATCCATGTCGGCCAGGGGTGCAGAAGGCGGTGGAGGATTGCCAGTATGCTGGGGTGAACATTAAAATGATTACTGGCGACAATGTCTTCACAGCAAGAGCTATTGCCACTGAATGTGGGATTCTACAGCCAGGTCAGGACATGGATAGTGGAGCCGTTGTGGAAGGCGAGGAGTTCCGGACCTATACACCAGAAGAGAGGATGGAAAAGGTGGAGAAGATTTGCGTTATGGCAAGATCGTCTCCTTTTGACAAACTTCTCATGGTGAAATGCTTGAAACAGAAAGGGCATGTAGTTGCAGTCACTGGGGATGGTACCAATGATGCTCCAGCACTTAAAGAAGCAGACATTGGTTTGTCAATGGGGATTCAAGGGACGGAAGTTGCAAAAGAGAGCTCCGATGTCGTCATTTTGGATGACAATTTCGCTTCTGTGGTCACTGTTCTGAAGTGGGGCAGATGTGTTTACACTAACATACAGAAATTCATTCAATTCCAGTTGACAGTAAATGTTGCTGCTCTGGTGATCAACTTTGTGGCGGCCATTTCTGCAGGTGAAGTTCCTTTAACGGCTGTTCAGCTTTTGTGGGTGAACTTGATCATGGACACATTGGGTGCACTGGCTCTGGCTACAGAGAAGCCCACCAAGGAGTTGATGAAGAAGCCACCTGTTGGTCGCACAGAGCCACTGATTACCAATATCATGTGGAGGAACCTCCTAGCTCAGGCTTTTTACCAGGTTGCAGTACTCTTGATCCTACAATTCAAAGGAGAATCAATCTTCCGTGTGACTGAAGCAGTGAATGACACCTTGATCTTCAACACTTTTGTGCTCTGCCAAGTTTTCAATGAATTCAACGCAAGGAAGCTGGAGAAGAAGAATGTGTTCAAGGGTATTCATAAGAACAAGCTGTTTTTAGGGATCGTTGGAATGACCGTTGTTCTTCAAGTGCTGATGGTGGAGTTTCTAAAGCGGTTTGCAGGTACAGAGAGGTTGAATTGGGAACAATGGGGTGCCTGCATCGCCATGGCTGCTGTATCTTGGCCCATTGGCTGGATCGTCAAGTGCATACCGGTGCCAGAGAGACCTGTTTTCAGCTATCTCAAATGGAAGAAACGCATATAATGCTTCAAAATTTTTTTCATTCTTTAAACATATGCTTGCATATCCTATAATTTGTTTCAGATTTCTTTGTTGGAGCTATGGTATGAAAGCTGAAAATGCAATCAAATGAAATCTCTACATGATGCTGCAACATGACTGCACAGTAGCTGACAGTAGCATGGAGCTTTAGATGGGCAACAAGAGACGACAGAAAATTTCATCATTTTAGCCAATGGTTTAGGTAGTTAATAATTATTGTATTAAGTAGAAAAATATTATTATTTTATGTGTAACGTCCCTCTATAAAAAGGAAGGAAGAAATTGATGAAAATTGAGAAAGAGAAAGCATGGTTTCTCCTCTCCGGTTGGGTGAATGTCTGCACCCTTCCATGTTTATGGCTTTATGCTTTATGTTATGTTGTATTGTTTCTGCTATAAATAACAGAATATCAATGGAAGAAAATGGGTTCTAACCTCACCAAAAGAGGGAACTTTGGGTGTCTCTACTTCTTCTTCAAGTCCTCTCTCAATCCCCCCTTCTCCTTCCTTCTTACCACCCAAAATCCAACATGGTATCAGAGCTGAATTCTTGAGGGATCTGTGAGAGTTTGTTTTTTGAGGGAACACCAGAAAAAAACCCACCTTTCTCATTGTTTTCAAACGGTTCTTCATGTGAAACCCCTCTTGCTTGGCCAAAATCTTGCAACTAAAAAAGCTGTGAAGATGGAAGCATATGTTAGTCCCACCATGGGAGATGTCAAGGAGAGGAAAACTGGATTCAAAGAGAAGGTGTTCATGTTTGTTTCCAAAATCAGTCCAAAAGGCAAATCATGGTTGATGGAATGGGAAACTGAGCACAAGAACTCTGTTTCATGGTATATTCTACATCCATCTTTCACGTTTGATATGGATATGTTTTGAGTTTTCCCAAGAAAACTCTTCATGGATGTGGCTTTGATGTTCCAAACTCCCATGGCTTCATGGCAAAGAATGTTTGATGGAGACCACGACAAAGGAAAACTGGGCACAACATCTCAGTTTCATTGTGTGTTCTTCTACCATCTTTTATGTTTGTAATTCTGAATGTTATGAGTTTTTTTCATATAAAAAAAAAAAAAAAACTCTTCATGTTTATGTAGTTGTGAACTCCATTGCTTTATAGCAAAGAAGTTTGGTGGAGGAGAAAAAATAACAACTCCAGAATGTACTGAAGCAGCAAAGATCCACGGACAAAGCTGCTGCAATGGTGGAGTTGCTGAAAATGTTTTAGGCTCCAGAATCTGTTCAAACTGCAAAAATCTAATCTATATGAAGCTGATTTGTAGGAGGAGCTGAAATATTTAAGAAGATGGTAGTTGGTAGCAAATAACAAATGAAACCAAGCCACAAAGAACTGAAAATGGCAGAGCAATGTTCTAAAGTAAAATTTTGTTTCAGCAGCTTTAATGCCAAGGCGAAGTTTGGTGGAGCCATGGCAGGAAAGCTGAAAATGCAATCAAATGAAATCTGCTAAATAATGCTGCAACATGATTGCACAGTAGCTGATAGCAGCATGGAGCTTCACATGGCAACAAGAGATGACAAAAAACTTCATCTTTTAGTCAATGGTTTAGGTAGTTAATAATTATTGTATTAAGTAAAAAATATTATTATTTTATGAGTAGCCTTCCTTTACAAAATGGAATGAAGAAATTGATGAAAATTGAGAGAAAGAGAAAGCATGGTTTTTCCTCTCCAGTTGGGTAAATGTCTGCACCCTTCCGTGTTTATGGATTTATGTTCTATGTTATGTTGTGTTGTTTCTACTATCAATAGCAGAATATCAATGGAAGAAAATGGATTCTAACCTCACCAAAGAGGGAAATCCGAGTGTCTCTCCTTCTCCTCCAAGTCCTCTCTCAATGTCCCCCTTCTCCCTCCTTCTTATCACCCAAAATTCAACATTCTCCTTTATGTTTGTAGAGGCTATAATTTATTCATTCTTTCAATTTTTGCATAGATATACTGTAATTTGATTCACAATTTCCTTCATTAATTCTATTTGTATGGATTATATAGGAAAACATATAATAAAATAACTTTGATTCTTTTGACATGGATAGTTAAACATGTTTAATTTTTGCTTGAATGTAATCAAAAGCAATATCAAAAATCAATATGCAACATGCTGCAAAGATGAATAAGTTATTATTGTAACACTCGATAAGCACTCTCCAACTACCGAAGCAACATGAATCTCAGGAGTATGTGGAGAAAAGGTACCTTGGTGCCCAATGTGAAGAAGTTTTGAACCCTTTGTTGAATCAAATAATGTCAGTTACCCTTATTCTTGCTGATCAAAACAAAAGAAAAAAGGTACCCTTATTCTTATCAAACGCAGCAACCTGAATAAAAATCAATTGACAAGGATCAACGATTTCACATATTTATGTAACAGAATAATGCTCTGATTTCAGTGAACACATTGAATCCTAAATACTATGTGTAGCTTGAAAGGAAAGATATTTAGCCGTTTAAGTCCCAGAACTGAGCTTATTATATACCTTGTTCCATGATCAAGCACCATGTGAATCTCTTTTCTCGAGTTGATGGCCACATTCCAGCAGGGTCTCTACCAACAATGTAAAACTAGCCCCTGCCTTTATCTAAGATATTTCATGCCACAGGACTTCAGTTGGGCAGGCATAAGATATGGGAGTTGAAATATAGACACCATCTAGAATACCATCCTCAAGCACCTGATAAATCATCAAAAAACTGATTCAGCAACGAAGGCAAATAGATGAAGATGTACCAATAAAAAATGCAAATACATGAGGAATCAAATAAATAAACCAGTCAGTCAGTTTCCAACACACATAAAATAAAATTAAAAAAAAATTCAATTCTTAATCTTCACTGGAATCCTCCATACTGAGGATTCTGGGAATATTTTCTTCTTCCCCAGTTCTTGACAATAGTTATCTCAGGAAGTCCCTCGACAACTTATAACCATCGGAGAGGTGTAATCAATATCCTTTCTGTGCCTCTTTCGGCCTTTTGGGCCACCCAAGTTGGATAACAAAAAGCCCGTTTTGAGTTGGACCTGAATTGTCCAACTGCCAGCCCAATTGGATTTTAGTAAACGGTGGGTGCTGTGCCAGGGTGCATAAATAGTTCGTGTCTACCCCACCCCGTTGAGTTCACGTCACATGTTTTTTTCGCCGTTTTTTGAGCTCTTGGGGATTTTTTTTTTATTAGTTGATAAAACTAAATTAATCACATAATTTTTGGGAAAAAAATACCCAATTTAAAATGAGTTGTTTGTTTTTGTAGTTTGACATATACTTTTTTTAATTAAATTTAGTTATATCACTTTTTAAATAAGGCCAAAGCCCCTATTTGCACCCTCCATTTATTTGTTTTCCGCAGTCAACACCTTCCAAAATTTTTCCTCCCTATTAACACACTCCATTTTTCAAAACCCGTAAAAAACCCAATATTTTAACAGGCCGTCACGGCACCGTTAAAAAATATGTTACGTGGCACTCAAAAATTGACGTGGTACTACATAACGTTAATAATCCAACGTGGACGCCACGTATACAATAAAAATAATAAAAAATTATAATATTACCAAACAATTACATAAATGGCATTTTTTCTTTTTTTTTTTTTCTTTCTCCCCTCATCCTCGGCATCATCTTCA